GTTTTCCTAAAGTCACTGGTCCAGAGACCTCCTAAACTCCTCAGCCCTTGAAGGTAGCTCACAGATGGATTTATAAGCTCTATGTCTATCTCTTTCCCATACTTTCCCTCTTAGAGATATCAGTAAATATTTGAAGTAGAGGCAAGGAATAGAAGATTAAAAAGAATTTTTACCAAAGAGTACAAGTCAGATTGGATAATTTAAAAACTGCAAGAGATCTTGCAAGGAAGACAAAATAAACGCTGAAGTGCTTTAACTAATATGAGAACTCAATTCAGCACAAACTTGGCTCACGGCCATAAGTAGGTACACCTCATAGATATAAAATCACAAGGGGTTTTGTTCTTAGGGAGAGTCCTGGTCAGAAGAACAAGCACTTTAGCTGAACCTGTACTTTTGTTTGTGCCCGCTGGGCAGACAACCAGGATTTGTAGTTGAACAAATTGGGTTTATTGCTCTTTGTAGCAAAGAGGAACACACGCTATGGAGGAATGTGGGATATCTGACTCAGTAAGATGTTACTTTAGGATTTACTATAGGAGTGGGTCTGTGTTAGTTGGCTGGGGGTTTTGCTCAGGATTGCCTGGATTGCTTGCTGTCTGGAAGTGGGTGCAGTGAATGTTGGAAAGGCTGTAATTGGAAAATACACTTGTGCGTACCTGGATGGAAATCTCTGTGGTCATTTTTTGTGGTTTGGACAAAGTTCATGTTTTTTGTTTGTGTTCAGACATGGTTAAGGGAGTGGTCTTGCATTTGTTTTGATTTTTTATGATCTCTTAGGGCCTTGCCTGTGAAATTATGTTCAGCAGAGCACTATTGTAGCTGTGTCAGGCCAACTCCCAGTCACTTCAGGGCCTAGTTGGTGGTCCCCTCCAGTCACTATGCATATGGGCTGATTTACCTCTCTCAGTAGCTAAAGAAATAGTGTGATACCCAGAAAAGGGGTCGCTCAGCAATGGAAGTAGAAAAAGATACCTCAAAACAAATATTGGCAATGTCCAAGCACCATGCAGAAGATTGAGCTACTGTCTTTGTGTATCTTAGTCCCACATTTAAACATCCAAATCTTCTAATAGGCATCCCCTATTTTATTTTATTATTTATTTATTTATGGTTTTTTTCCGGTACTGGGAACCAAACTCATGACCTTGCGCTTGCCAGGCAGGCGCTGTGTCGCTGAGCTAAATCCCCAGCCCCACATCCCCTATTTTATGTTCATCAAAGAACTTTCTATCTCAAATTTATCTTTCTGTCTATGCTTTCCTAGAGGGTAAGAACATTCTGGTGTCCATGTCTTCCTACTACTAAATCATGCTTTACATTTATAATGTTTATATATACATAATGTATATATGTAATTTTTTTGGATTTAAATTTGTATATTAAATAAATACCATGATCTTAGTTTCCTCCCTCCTTCCAATACCCTGCCTTCATTGCCCTGCCCAAATGGAAGACAAAAGACAAGCCACTAATGCAATCTCTACCACTGCATAAGGTAGGATGGGCCAATCCCTCCACTGCATGAAGAAGGGTTCTGGAGGGACAGACCTTGTTATGGTGTATGTCCTCCTAGGGCCTTGTGCACTCCTAGGCAGGGCTTTTGGAAGGGGACTGGATCACAGGCAGACAGCTGCCTTTGTCAGCAGATGGGCCTGGTCAGAAGAGGCGGGTCACCAGGGCTGACCTGGAAGGGTGCATGTCCCTCCTCTGGCTTCTCTTCACCCTCTGCTTCCTGCCTGCCAGGATGTGAACAGTTTTCCTTGCAGTGCTGCTATGACATGCCCTCCTGCCTTAGAGCCAGCTAATCAGGGACTGAAAAGTCAACTAAAGCAAACCATTCCTTTAAATGTGGAGTATTGTGTCTCAGTGACAAGAAAGTGACTGAGACAACACCTTAATTGTCCAAATACAGTGGGAGCAGGTACCCTTTGCCATGGAGGAACAGTATCACAGAACATTTCATGGCATGACAAAGGTTATCCCCTATGGTATAGATGTACAATGCCCTCCAAATCTTATGTTTGGAAGTGGGGCCTGGTCAGAAGGGGCAGATCATTACAAGTGCGATTTGAAATTGTGTATTCTGCTGCCAGGCTCCTCCCTTCTGTGCTTCCTGACCCTGGTGACCTGAGCAACTTTTCTTCTGCCAGGCCTCTCTGCTATGCCATTTCTGCCTTAGAGTCTGCAGACCATGGACTGAACCCTCCCAACTGAAATTAGCCTCTTCTTTTGTTTTTTTTTTTTAAATTTTTAATTTTTTTCACTTTTCTACCTCTTCTCCTTTTAGTTGCAGGTATTGTGTACTGTCCCAGCGATGGGGAAGCTCACTTAATACTTCTCCTCACAAAAACACTTAATGCAGTGTTCCAGCGAGAGCAGGAGGACTGATGGAATCCCTGTTCCTGAAACTTTCAAAAGACTAGACATTAAGTCTACAAAATATACAATTCCTGCCTGTTCTGCTGCCTTTCCTGTACCGGGTCTGTATACCACTCATCAGCCATAAAAATTCCTTCTTCCAGCAGCAGGGAATGAGAGCACAGAAACTCACACCACAAACCTTCTTTCCTTCAGCCTCTTGACTAAAATTAGCCCAGGCTTAATCTAACTGCAAGGAAGGCTAGAAGTATACAGTAGATGAAATATTTTGCAGAGTAATATTGTCTATCAGTTTGGGGAATATTTTTGGCTCACTGCCTAGTTTGGCTTTATTCTGTTCAGCCAACTTCTAACATGGAGCCTGGCAGTGTCTTATATTTTTAAAAGAAGACAGGGCACCTGTGGTTCTCTTTTTTAAACAGAAAAACGACCAAATGTTTTTATCATTACTTAGTACACGGACACCAGCAGTACCTAACTTCCAACCAGAAAGTGTTTGAGAGATATTTGGTTTTTGCCGAAGAAATCTGTGCTAGGAATTTTATAAGTAGGTTGTGACAGTGCAGTTAAGAGCACTGAATTTTTCTGCTAATATGTGCTGGTTAGGAATTTATTACCTGAGCTTCTTTCGTTAACAGCTCCTTGTTTCTGAGGATGTAATTCCTTCCTCCAGCTCTTTCTTACTTTCTTGAAACAAGGACCTAAATGTGTAGAAATTATGTTGCTCTGCTTGATGACAGCTTTGAGACTGAGATTTCCTGAAGTGAAGTCTGCCTTGCAAATTAATCCTTGCTGAAGAACATTTCTAGGTATGTCTTCCTAATTTGGGTAAAGCACAAGGTGAGCAGCTCTAAATAGGATGGTGACTGCAGTCTCTAAAGGTCTGAATAATTATTTGAATCCCATAAAAGTCTAAAAATATTTTAAAGTAACTTCCCAGCTATACTTAAGAATAAACAGCACAAACTAGAATAAGCACATTGAGATATGAAATTAAAGAGAAGCTAGGTAACATCTAGGTTTTATGTTGATTCCATGCCCTGGCAGGCTATTATTGTGATTCCCAATTGAGCTTAGGAAAGTAAAATGAATTTCAAAATGATTTCAAGGAGAAACTGATGTGTAACAAAGCAGCGCTCTGATAAATAGTAATACACCAACACAGAAGAATTGGTACCTAGCTTCTATTTTATAGATATGATCTAACCAAAGGGAAATATTTTTGAAACCATGACATAAACTGACAAGTGTTTACCCAGAATCAGAACTCCTGATTCCCCTATCCTGCAACTACACTTGGCCTCTTGTTACCATTAAAAAAACTCTAGCAATGTTTCATAAATAAATTTATAATAAGCTCTTCTAAAGAACACAAAACATAAATCTCTCCCTGACAGAAATTTCAAGGAAATAAAAATATTGCAGGTACTGGAGTATTTGTTTATGCTAAAACTAGAATATTGATTTGATGCTGACATATAATTACATTCAATCTTTGTATCTAAATCATAAATTAACCTACTGTGCTATATTAATTACAGTAAAAAACAAAACAAAAACCAAAATAATCAAAACCAATGGCATACACAAAACATGAAATGGTCTACTTAGCACTTTGACAGGATTTGCTTTAATCTAAAAGAACAACATCCAAGCAAAGGCAGACAGACACAAGATCTCAAAATAAAAACCTGAAAGTCCATCAGAGAAATTTACTGCAAGAGTAACACCTGTCAGGCCGCGAGTGCTAGCACACGCCTGTAATCCCAGCACTCGCCTGTAATCCCAGCACTTGGAAGGCTGAGGCAGGAGGATTGTTGCAAGTTTGAGACCAGCCTGGGCTACAAAGTGAGCTCAAGTCCAGCCTGAACTGCATAGCGAGACCCTGTCTCAAGAGACCAAAAAAAAAAAAAAAAAATTTAACACCCATCTTTCATTTTTAATCAACCTCTTACCTTTTAGGGTTTTTGATGTTATGGCATTGATACGAAAGGTAGTTAAGGTACAGTGCAAAGGAATGTCTGCCTAGTTTAAACCTGCTTAGGTCAGTATTTGTTTCTAAAATACACACTCGAGCACTAAAAATTCACAAGGCCCTATTTAAGTTTTACCACATTCAAGCAAAGTGTAACATGGTTGAAATACTTGTGAATACCAATTCCCAAGTTTACTAGGTAAAGTTACTACAGAACTCTGAAATTGTATTAATGCTGCATGTGTTTCTAATGAGTATTTTAATATAAAAGTACATAAAAACCCCAATAAAAAAAGAAAGTAATCTTTTCTGATTCCGTAGCCTAGGAATGGTTTAAAAGGGCCTCTTTCATTCACCAAGTATCAGTTCAAAGCTCTGCAGCAAGTAAGTAATCTTTGTGGATAGGACTTTATGCAATAAAAAGCTGAGTCAAACTATCTGTTAACACCTCTCAATTTCCCTAAAGCCAGTACAATAATCTCAAAGGTAAGTATTTTGTTTAGTTCTTTATGCCTTAAAATCTGTTTTATCATGTTTTCAGCAAAATCTTCACTCTGTAGCAGAAGCCATAGTTCCTTAAAAATCTGTCTTAAATACTTGCTTCTTTTCTGCCCACAAAACAGGGTACCATTAACACAGACAGTCTTGGTGTAGAACATTTATTATTTTTTCCATGAAACACAGTTTAGGTCAGTGGGAAATAATTTTAATCAGAATTGTACATTTTCTCCTCACATATCTTACTTTGAATTAGGAAATGACATTGCAATCCATTTCACTACAAGTAAAATATTACAAAATATTTACATGAAAATATTAAAAATAACTCAAACACAAGAAGATGAAACAAAATTTTTTGTTTGGGAAATCTCTATTCCAGGGCCCACAGCACACAAGAAGAGAGTCAAAACAAATAAGATGAGCCTGGTCACAAATTTCCAAAAAACTGGAGAAGGGAAAGAAATGGGATGAAAACAGTGGTGGGAAGAGAATGGATGTCAGCAGCACTGTTTCAATAGCCAATCTTCTGGATGAAATACCCTCTCTCAGGTGCAGGAAATTCCACACAAGCCTAAGCTCTAGCATATTCCTGGAACTGAAATTAGAAAATACCCTGACAGCGGAAGTAGCTCTTTCACCTAAGTTTCAATATGAGTGTCTTGCTCCATGAACTGCCGCTGTGAACAGAAGCCTGTTTCGGCATCAACAGCTGTCACAGCAGCCCTTCCATCTCTTTCATGAAAGCTTCATAAACATCATCCTTAGTCTGTACTGAGACAGGAACAGAAGGACCAGATTTGGGGGCTGCTTTGGCAAGAGGCACAGCAGAATCATCCTCTGGCTTTCTTTGGGGAACAGCAGTGGCCCCTTTATTCTCCCGACGTACCCTCAGCGCAGTGGGCACAAATCGAGTAATCTCTGCCTTGGGATTAGTGATCTGTGGCTTGGCACTGATGGTTGCCGTGGCTTTCTTCTCAATGGTGGCTGCACTCGTGTCATCCGCCTTCGGTCGCTGAATCAGGTTGGGTGGGGCACTCAACACCCCTGGGTTCGGCAAGGGAGCTGGTGGGAAAAGCCCAGGCGGGGCAGGTCCAAGTGGAGGCACCAGAGGTGGGCGCATCATGCCAGGGCGGGGTGGAGGGATGCCTATATGAAGAGGACAAGAGCCAAGGTGAATCCAGAACTAACACGGTTTAACTCCTATTAAACTACTGTTAAACTACTAGTAAACTACCATGTTTAAATGCAGGTTAATAAATTTTAACATATGGTACATTTTACAGAAAAAAGCCAAACTCAAATCATACTATTTAAAACTCAGGAATAAATTTTGATAGTAAAGGAATACAATATTCACCTCCATTCTGTATCCCTATACTATATAAAGCAAACTTACCAACAGGTTTCAAATACTACTTTAAATTCATCTCAGGATACCACTCTCCCTGTAGAGTGCAGACACCATTAAAGTAAGGGTCAGGGGTTCACCCTCATCCCTAACTTACTTATTTCCACACGATACCAGTGCAAAAACGGTTAACTCAATGGGCAAGAAATACATGTTTAACCCTGGTCATTAAATGGGCGTGATATGACAAAGTATAATCACAACATCTGACTACTGAAAAACAATTCATGTACTATTAATGGTTTAGACATACAATCATCATATTTCAGGAGCTGCAGATTTTAATGTTCTTTGAATATAAAGCACTACATATTTCATTAAATCTTTGGTGCTGCTGGTTAGAGAGACTTGTAATTATTCTGTGCATCCTAAGAAAAGTTGAGGTACTAAACTTTCTGTGACTTTTTTCCCCGGTGGCACTGGGGACTGAGCCCAAGGACCTTCCCACTGACTACATTCCTACCTCTTCAAAATTTTTTAATTTAAGATAGAATCTCACTACGTCACTCAGCTGGGCACAAACTTGGACCCCCTGCCTCAGCCTTCAAGTGGGCTGGCATTATAGGTGTGTACCTAGGACCAGCAGTGATTTTAAACTTTTAAAAAAATTCATCCAGATGCACAAAATAGCTTCATATTCACACCTGTACTTCTAAAAGCAAAATAATTCAAATATAAAAATCAATCCAATGTTGTCAATGGCCGTGAAGCCCCACAACCGACAGGCAGAAACAAATAAAAATATCTACGTCAGGAACTCTGCATCAGTCCAGGCCAACAGCAATTAAATATCATTACTGATCATTAAGACTCCTCTGATTTCAAAATATCAAGATGTGACAATGCTGAGAGCACATGGAAGCACAGTAGACTAGGTTTTCAATGTAGAAACCCAAAGCTTCACCTGGAGGTGCTGGGGGAGGTAGCCTGGGTGGGGGGCCCCGAGGAGGGGGGCCAGGAGGCAGCCCTGGAGGAGGGCCTGGGGGAGGGCCCGGGGGTCGGCCTGGTGGCGGTCCTGGAGGCAAAAGCCGTGGCAAAGGCCCTCGGAGTCCTGGCATTCCAGGTGGTCTCAGGAATGGAGGAGCGCCTGAGAAGAGAAAAAGGATAAATACATGTCAAACAAATGCACATGAAGTTGGTATAAATTGTATAAGTGGTTTGACTGAAAAGTTCAACTCAAAATTAGGTAATGTCATTAACTCACTGAAATATGTGGAAATAGAATTCACTCAACAAATAGCAAAGCACCAGTAAAAGAGTATTGGATTGTCACGGATTATTTCTTCTTATTTCCCAGGGCTTACAAAAAAAATCATACTCAATCACAGCTTTGCTGGGCTGGAAATATGCAAAGATGAGAAAAATTCCTAAATAGATTAAGAATAAGCTGCAAACGGAACGTAAGTCAGGTTGCTTTAAAAAATCCCTAAATCTCATTAAGATATAGTCAAAGATCAGTGAGAATGACATACAATAGCTAATTCTGCTTTGCACCAATCAAAAAAGGGTTACTTCAATTGAAGCCGATTTGATTGGCTCTAGGAAGAAGGACTAAAATTATAAACAGCCAAGAAATTCTCTTGGTTGTGTCACATTATAAATAAGATCTTTCTACTTTTAAATTGAATATTTGATACACAGAATGATTACTTTTGTCTTTATTAAGAGAACTGTAATTTAAAAAACCACCAGGATTATCTTGACATTCAGTTCTTAAACTAAGAACATCACGAGATAATGCTAACTGTGCCCTAGTCTCACCTGCTATCAATTTAGAACTGGGTCAACTTATCATATTAAAAGGTAATACTAGACGGGTATGGGGGCAGACCCTGTAATCCCACCACTCAGGAGGCTGAGCCAAGAGGATCACAGGCAAGTTCAAGAACAGCCTGGGTTACATAATGAACTCAAGCGCAGCCTGAACAACACAGCAAGACCGTGTCTAAAAAAACAAAAAAAAAACACAAAGTAATGCTAAGGAAAATACAGTTACTTGTTCAAATTTCTGACTGCTACAGCCAGAAATAAGAACCTTGAAAAGGAAGAACTTCAGCCAAAAACAAGGGTCTATCAGAAGAACTCGCCTGTGAACAATACTTAGAAATCAACAAGTTCCGTATTTCTTTTGAGAATTCCATTAGGAGGAAACAAGAAAGCATCACTACTAACAATGTACATTCTCTCGGACGATTTCACTAACGTTTAATATGCATTCACACACCACGTTAAGTGCTTACCTGGAGGTGGTCCAGGAGGAAGGCCTGTGGGTGGTCCGGGAGGCCGTAAAGGTGGGGCGGGTGGTGGTCCAAGAGGAGGTGGTCCTGGCATGGGAGGTGCTTGAATCTGAGAAGGAGGAACAGACTGTGGGGGTGCCTGCTGCTGTGAAGAAGCAGCAGACGTGCCATCAGAGTGAGAATCCTCCTTATGCTGTTTTTGTGATTGCTTTTCTGCTTCAGAATCATCAGAATCGTCATCATCATCATCCTCTGAAAATTCTTCTACTTCTCGTCCCTCCTCAGGGATTTCCTGACCTGGAAGAAAATTTTAAAATGTGTAAATAGAGTTAATACATCCTGGAGAAAAGTGAGGAATGATGACACATCTCATTAAGTGCACCTTAAAAACTAACAGCCAAAGAGTCTTCCTCAGTGAACCATTTAGACGTGGACGAATCAAACAGTATCCTGTGCTACTGCACTTGTGCAGTGCGAGCAAGTGAGCCCAGGCTTCAGAATAAGACAGACCTACACTTAACTGCCCACGCTCAACAACTCAGGGGCAGGTGGAACCTCTCTAATGGTTCCAAACCTTAATTTTTGTAAAACACAAACTTATTACTTCAGGGTTCTGAAGGATCCTGAGCGGAAAATCGTATGCAAGTGCAACCAGGTGGTGATGCAAAAGCCACCAAAAGGTGAGGCACTATTCCTCGCCTTACCTGCCATTCGCAGCATCATGGCTTGAAGAGGAGTCAGCTCCTTCATGTTCTTCTTTTTCTTTCTTGATTTTCCAGGCATATCTGCAAACCGCACACTCAGACCTAAGGGGTCAAGGGAGGGTGGGAGGTGGGAAGACAGGGATCAATAAAATTCAGCTGTTTACTATAGAGCTCAAAAGTATTATATAACTATAACCGCTACTGGACAAAACTGCAGAAATAGCTATATTAAAGACGCAGTAAATACATGCTCCAGTAATTTAAGATACATATATCTTAAGGTTTAAACAATCCTATTTATATACTTGTCAATAAAATTGAATCCTCACATAAAAACCAGTTTTATAGAAAAACATTCACTGTATAAAACATGCAAACAGAAAGGATATAAACACAAAACATATGGAACTGAAATAAAACTTCCTCAAAAGTTACAAATAAATGTATAAGGAAATTCTGCTGTACGTTGTTACAGAAAATTTCTGAAAAAAGGCATAGGAAGAGATGGAAAGCTAGCTACTTCATAAAGCTAGAAAAATCCTAACATCAGTACTAACCTACAGGCCAACTTAAAATATAAACACATGGTGTCTAATAGTATTTTAAAAAAACATGTCATAGGCATGCAGGGTTGCTCCCACATATACAAGATGGTTTAACAAAGACAAGCTAGTAAGTAATTCACTATAATAAAAAACTTACAAAGAAAGAAAAAGCACATCCAACAGATACTTCAAAAAACCCCAAGAAAACAACAATAAAAAAAAAACTTGGAAAAAAAAACTGGAACAGAAAGATACTTTTTAACCTGAGGCAAGCTATCCACTAGACATTATTAAACATCAAGCTTAATGGTACAGTATCAGGAGCATTTTTAGTTGGTAAACACTGCAGGTAGTTATTCCATGCAGGCAGGACTTTAGCTTGTATCCTCAGCCTAGAAAAATGCCTGGCATATAGTAAAAAGTCAATACATATTAGCTGAAAAAAAAGTTATCAAATCAAAGTTGGGACAGACATTTTCAGAGCTTGTATGCTGATGAATATATAAGAAAAAGCAGTTGGTAGAAAAAGAAAAGAAAGGGAAGAGACCATATAGAGAAAAATGCTGTGACTCTGGTTTTATTTTCTTTTACTAGTTCCTACCTAAGAGTCTTCTATACTTTTCTAATATTATTTCTCTGTACCACCATTTAGCTTTTTTGTTTGCAGTCATGATAAAAACTAGCAGAAGACATACCTGTCATCATTGTAACTATTAATATTAGCATTACATGTACTAATGCTACACATGAACATTGTGTATGACAACTCTAGGCTACAAAAACATCCCAAAAGCTCCACCACCAATGTTTGACAGACCCAGCATATACTCTGTATCACTATTACACTGTGTAAAAAATTTTTAACAATAAATACCATACATCATAGATATAGAGTTCATTATTCCACTTACAGATGTACAAAAGTTACAATTATAATCCCGGTTCATGATTAGACACCATCAATATAGAAAATTCACAGAGCAAACAAGGACACTTTAAAAAGCTTATTTAGGAAGAAAAACAAAAGGTTATTCTTTCTTTCCTACAGAATATCTTTACACTGTTAAGCCACATACACTATTTCCACCTTGCATTCACTAAATACTATGTGTTTTAAAAATTTTGAAAATACTGAGACAGAAAGGTGAAAACAACTGTGAGTCCTCCTTTCCAAAGCTCACAATTACTTTCACTCACTGATGAATTAGGGCCTCTGGCTGTGCTCTGCACATACCTGCCTTCTTTTCCTCGGTGTTGTCTCGCTCGTTATCGTCACGGTGCATAAACTCGTCCCCTTCACTTTCTCCATCTGACCTGTCTGTGTCACTGTCATCAGTGCTGTCATCGTGCTTGTCTTGATCCATGTCCTCAGGGTAGCCGTCATCTTCACTGGTGCTGGAAACATCATCGTCATGCCCACGCTGTGCTGGAAAACGGGGAAGCACAAAACAAGTGATAGGATTCAATGCTCTGCTACATGATACCCAGGAATCAGGAAACTATGCTCATTATGTAACCCAGAATATTAACCTGTTTCACTACAAAATCAGTAAATAATTGCAGCTATTCATTCATATAGTTTGGCTATTTTTACTAGTAATAATTCTAAATACTCCTTTTCGTAATGTAAGCTTTAAAAAAACTTCAAATTTGAAAACATTACATTTAGAAACAATAAATGACCACATACAGTGAAATGATAGTCTGATGACAGTAATGCTGAGATAGGTACCCTAATATTAAGGGACTGGTAGCAAGACTGACATCTCTTAAGGAAAGCTTGGTTAATGTAGGCCAGGCATGATGGTGCAGGCCTATGATTCCAGAATTTGGGATACCGAGGCAGGAGCATCATGAGTTCTAGGCCAGTTTGGGCTACACAGCAACTCTAACAGAAAAGACTAACATAAAACAGCGTAATCAATTTTTCTATACATTCCTCAGTATGATTCTTACACTTTGGGAGAGTCTATGATTTATCCATTGGTATCCCCACTAGACATACATAGTATCCTCATTTATTTCCTAAATGCTGACGGTTATGAACATGTTAAATAGAGCCAACATGAAAAACACAGTGAAAAGGTTGTCAGAGTGAAAGAAACAGGCATGCCTTACCAAGATCAGGACTATACAACATGTCTTCATCTCGCCTACGAGGAGGAAGATCAAGAGCAAAGCCCACTTTACGGCCATACATCTGTAAGACTTGGGGAGGAGGTGGACCAGGTGGAGGACCCGGAGGCTTCCTGCCAGGGGGCAAACGTGGAACACCATGTCCAAGAAGAGGAAGAATAGAAACTGCTCGAGTTGGAGGTCTGTAAAAAAAAAAAAAAGTGACACTGATCACATAAGAGTAGTGAAGGACAGGCCAGGTGGGGTGGCGCATGCCTGGAGGCCCAGCATTGCAGAGGCTGAGGTAGGACGACTGCTTTGAGTTCAAGGCCAGCCTAGGCTACAAAATGACTGTATAGTGAAACCCTGTCTCAAAAAAGACAAAAAAAAAAAGAATGAAGATGTGTTCTGTGGATGCACCAACTCCCCACAAGGACTGTAATCATTATGTACTGTAAATAGTAGGAATAAAAAATTTTTTGAAAAAATATAGTACTTATTTCTCCTAAATTTTCAAGAGATTTCTTCACATTTAATCAAATGTCATATTGCTTACATCCACACTGCCTTTTAATTCTCACTGTACTGATTTTGGCACTGATATTCAAGGGGCTTTTAATAAATGCTCTGGTTATGATATTGCTTCCTTACCCATAGGCTGAGGTCTTCTTAAGGATGGAGGGTGGCTGGGCTCCAGGAAGTGGAATGTCCTGGATTAAGATGTTGGAAGGAGCGTGCGGCATATCTGGCAGAGGAATACTCTCTACTTCTACATGCTGAGCATTCTGAAACAGAGAGAAACTTTGATAGCACGATAAAAAAAATCTGCAAGTGCAACACAAAAAATTTCATGTCAGCTATTTCACAATCTGAATTTGCTTTCCAGCTAACAAACATCATGAAAAAACAAGAACTGAAAGAAACTCTGGTGTGGTGGTGCACGCCTGTAATCCCAGCACTCGGGAGGCTGAGGCAGGTGGATTGTTGCAAGTTCAAGGGTAGCCTGGGCTACAAAGTGAGCTTAAGGCCAGCCTGAACTGCACAGCGAGACCCTGTCTCAAAAAGACAACAAAAAGAAAGGAATCAAAGAAATCTTCATCTCTTTCAAAGAACCGAAGTCTAGCTTTTTTGTTTTTGATCCTTTTATAGATAGAACTCTACACCTGATTCCTTTTGGATATGATTATCTGAAGTAGCTGTTTAGAGACGGCTTTTTTTTTGAGACAGGGTCTTGTTTGTAGGAAGAGATGGGAGACTAGCTACTTCATGAGGCTAGAAAATCCTAATATCAATACTAACCTACAGGCCAATTTAAAATATAAATAATTGAATCCAATAGTATTTTTAAAAATTATGTCAGAAGCACACAGGTTTGCTCCTGCATATACAAGATGATTTCACAAAGAAAAGCTAGCAAAGTAATTCACTATAATAAACAAAAAGAAAAAAAACACACATCCAACAGGTGCTTTAAAAATATGATTAAAAAAAACAGAAAACAACAAAAAACTCTTGGCAAACTGGAACAGAAAGACACTTTTTAATCTGACAAAGGCTGTCCACTACAGATTATTAAACATCATGCTTAATGGTACAGTATCAGGAGCATTTTTAGCTGCTAAACACTGAAGGAAGGTAATTATTCTATGTAGGCAAGACTTTAGTTTGTTTAGCCTGTATCCTTAGGGCCTAGAAAAATGCCTCACACATAACAAAGTCAATAAACATTAGTTGTAAGAAAGAATATTAAATCAAAGTTGAGACAGACATTTTCAGAGTATGTGTGCTGATCAGTACATATTAGAAAAAACAGCAGAAAAAGGAAAAATAAAAGGATCAGTTTTTGTTTGCGGAATAGCATTCCACTGTAGAAATACCCTATAATTTGATTATCCATTACCCTGTTAATAGATACCTGGACTACTTTCAGATTTTAGTTATTACTCTTTTGGTAGACAGATTAATTTTTCTTATGTAAGAATTGCTGGCTCGCATGGTAAGAACGTTGTCTGAGAAAAAGCTAACATGATGAACAGGTTTAAAATGATGAATTTTCTCATTAACTTTTAAAAGCAAATCTTGAGCAAAATGTTTTATCTTTTTTCACAAAAAACTTGATTACCTTGACAGCATCAAAATACTGGCTAAGTTGAGCCCTTTTCTGTTCATATTCTACTTCTAGCTTTCGCAATTCTTTGTAAATATCTGGATTCTCTTTTTCATAAAGTCGTAGGATACGTTCAAAGGTTTCACGAAGCTTTTTACGCTTATCTTTCAGTACTTTCTCATTTAACTGTGGTTGTTGCACTGGGTTAAATTCTGGGAAAAAAACAGAATACAGAATTATAAACAAAAGTTTACTTCATTTAGATATTTAGAGACTATATAACTTAATAAAAACCTCTTAGATAAACACTGGTCTGTCATTTAATTCTTCAATCTTAGGCACTGTAGTTAAATGCTCTAGTCTCAGCTTCCTCACCTGAAAAATGAGGACACCAATTACTTTGTAATGAAACTCTGATGATAAAAGGGGATTACAAATAAAATAAGCATTGTTTGACTTATTACTTCTACTATTTTTATGACGGACCTATGCTCCTTACCTACTACCATATAACCCCTTAACTGATGATGTCTCAACATGGGCTTTCATTTCAGTTCCTCTGCCCCAAGAAGGATCAGTGCAAGACACCCCAGTTCTACCTGGCCAATCATATGCCCTCATTCTCCTTTTTAGTATTGACATAAAGAGATTGACTGGCATATGATCCCAATTGGGAGCAGATCTTTCTCCTGCACACGGTAAGCAGGGATAAAGCAAACCTAGTGCTGTCTATGGCTTTGTCTCCCAAACACTAATTCTGTAGATATCCCACTTTTCATCCCAAGGATTTCATTAGCATTGTGCTGAATGAAGCAAATAAAGCAGATTAGATAGACGGACCATCTTGACCATGACATGTGGGGTTTCAAAGGTCAGCTTCAAGAGTGACTTTCTCAATTACAGCAGCCAATGTCTTTTTTTTTTTTTTTTCTGGTACAGGAATTGAACTCAAAACGTCGCACTTGCCAGGCAGGTGCTGTGCTGCTGAGCTAAATCCCCAGCCCCTAATAGCCAATGTCTTACTTGTTGCCTTCTCCTTTTTCTTAAAGGGTAACAAGTTAAATTATCTTCTTCCCTAAATCATACTGACTGTGAACCTTAGTGATTTATTCAAATCTAGAAGATATGTTCTTACACTATTCCTAATGTGATTACTTAAAAGTGTTGAATGTGTGAGTTTTAATCCCAGCTTTGCCACTGCGTAGCAGTATGACTTTGAAAAAGGTATGTAAAAACTGCTGTGTCAGTTTCCTCTCCTATAAAATATTGTATCTATCTACCTACCCAAAAAAATCAGAGGATCAGATAATATGCATAACAACTCAAAGCAACCTCAGCTATTATTACCTCCTTTTAAAACAACAAAGAACAATTTTGGCATGGGATACTTTGGCCCCATAGGGAAAATTATTACTTTTTGTGATATTTAAGCCAGATACAACAAGTGAAATCCATCACTGTACAGCTAACCTGGAAAGGATGTGGGTCTTGGTGCAGAGCTCTTGACCAAACTACTTCATGGATTCTCAAAAGTTCTTTTGGTAACTTTGTAATACCATAGCCCCACATGACTGAGTGTTTTGAACCCCAGTTAATGCATCACTGAGGAATTCCACTGTATCTTTTTTACCTAATACTCTTTTTGGACAAACCATTGAATCTGTTGGGTATCTGTCAACAAAACTTATACATCAAGATCACTCTAAAACACAACTGGAAAACAGGTGAGATACAGGAGGAAGAACATGGACTTGACAGCCAATAAAGCACATGGGCTTTAACTAGACTCTTTTTTTGCAGCTTGAAAACTTCCATTTTGGAGTAAAAAGGAACTGGGCTCAGTCCCCAGGACTGTAAGATAAATAAATAAGAAAATTTCTACTTTAAAGGACAAATAAAAAAACTGTATGTTCTAATAGCAAAAAAAGGGGATCTGTGAGTAAACATGTTTTCCTTTTCGTACCAGGAATTGAGCTCAGTACCTAGCACTTGCCAGGCAGGTGCTGTGCTACTGAACTATACATAGCCTCAGCCCAACATTTCCAGTAACTGTTAATGACTCGCAAACAACAGATGACGGTCCCCCACTTAGGATGGCTCCACTTCAGAACTTTTCCTGTCTTACCCAGATGAGATCTGCTCAAGTATACACACAACTGTTCTGTTCCTTACTTTCAGTACAGTATTCAACAAACTACATGCGATATACAATACTGTTATCAAATAGACTTTGAATTTAATGATTTTGCCTAACTGAAGGTTGACCTAAGTGTCCTGTGTGCATTTAAGGGAGACCAAGCGAAGCAATAATGTTCACTAGGTTTGATACATTAACAGTGTTGACGTATGTTATTTTCTATTTATCAGTGATTTAATGGAATGTTACTCCATCATAAATCAAGGAACACCGATGTGATGATTTATGTTCTTACCAAATGGTCAGATATCTTGCATTTTCTCATTGTAAAAATAAAAAATTGCCTTATATTCACTTAAGATGTATATGGTAGATGCCAACATTAGAACATTAATAATTTCATAAATCAAACTTGTATTCTCTCAAAAAAAGTGAACTGGCCAGACTGGACTTTTAATCTCACAACAGTCACCTCTAGCTACCTTTTCTCTTACTCTAGCATATGGAATCTCCACTTTATAAAAAGCCCCCATCTCTCTGTCTTCCTGACACTAAAATTAACTAGTTGCTAAATGTCATCATACTGTCCTATTTTTCTTAGGCCTATGCTGTTTCACTCATCACATCCTTGTCTCTGTGCATATCAGATCACTATAGCTGCTATAAAATTTAGCCTTTTAACGAGCTTTTACCCATTTCATCCAATTTCTCCATGTCCCGGATAATCTGTTTGGGATCTTTCATCTTTAAAACTGCAGCTCGAACCATCATGCGCTGTTTTTTGTTCTAAGCAAAATGAAAGAAGAGCAGAGTTAAGAAGCTGGATGTCCAGGAGTTATTTCAATATGCTTCAAGAACTGACGTAAACCAAATTTAGGAATTTCCCTTTGGTTTCAGATCACTTGTTTCAACCACCAAAAACAGAGGTATGACATTTTTTGCTCTCAAAAATAACTTTAGTCAAAAAAGATGTCCTTTCTTGGGTAAGTATTCCTTTTAAAGTTACAGTTAAAAAAATTCTATACTGAATGGAATAGAGAAAAGTCTTACAAAATATGATGCAAAATATCAATAAAACAAGAACAATCATTGAAAACGATTAAAAATCTGGGCTCCCTCAATGTGTTAATGCATTATACTAAATGGTTATTCCTTCCTTATTCAAATACCTTGCTACAAACTAATCTGGAAGATAGAATAGAAAGCTATCCAGCATTGATTTCCATTTACTAATTCAGCAGTTTTTGACAAGTTCTGTTTCAATAAGCAGCAAAAAATAATTATTTTCAAAGTTTTGTTTTTACTCATTGGGAAACATAAACAATGTCATAACCCATTAGAACCTACGTGGAAAATTATTTCAGTTCATTTCTTAAATATAGTAAACTTTGACTTAGTAAATTCTATGTCTTTTATTAAGAGGCATAAATCATCTATTTTGGCAAATAACTGAAAATATTATTTTGAAATACATTAATTCCAAACTATAAGATATGCCAAGTAACACTTAAAGCTATATAGGGTTCTTCTGATATCATACCTTCTTCAATTCTCTCTTCCGGGCTTCCTTTCCTGAAAGAGAAAGAAGGACAGATGATGTAACTTTCAACTCTTTAACATTTGTGTTTTTTCCCTTTAATACAGATAATTCTTCATAGTGCAGGGCCATCCTATGCACTGTAGGATATTTAGTAGCATCCTTTGGTTCTACCCACTAGAAATGGTATCCCTCTAATCACAACCAAAAATGTCAAGGCATTTTTAAGTTCTTAGAGAGTAATTATAAATCTTAAGGAAAAAATACTATAAAATACTACAGCTTGCAAAATAATGAGTATGTTCAAAATTCCAAATATAAAAACAAGCTTTAAGGCAATTCTACTTTGCAAATCACTTAAATCTCAAAAATGAAATATGGGTATTAATTTATTTATATGTTTAAAGTTTTAATCTTGTGCCACAACAACTCCAGGTAACTTTATACAATTTATTCCTTCTATGACTGCTGATAATGCAATTAAGCCATAATGAAAAGTCCCTAATATTTGCAATTTTTAACACTCCTCTATTCATCATTCCATACTAATGGACACTTACGAGCTTGGTCAGTAGGGTTCATAAATTTTCCACTCTTGGTTGATGACGTTGATCTCCGCCCCATATTGACAATCTATAGTGATTCACTTATTCTTAAAAAAAAAAACAACCTGCAAAACCAAAGAAATAGCTTATTTTTTTTATTTTTATTAGAGTTTCTATCAATCTCTGGAAAGAAACATTCCTTTATTAATTTTGTGAGGTCTTGTTCTTTCCTTAGGTATTGCCCTTGGTATCCAAGAAAAATGACCTCAACTTTCTTGACCACAAAGAAAATTCTATTATTCTTTAGAAAGGTTGAATCAGAAGGTGACTTTACTATTCATTAATTTAACATTTTCCTCATGAATCACAGCATTGTCTATTGAAAAAAAAATCTAGAAAATGTTTTAACAATATGACATAAACCATGACTATGAAAAGTCCTTAGTCTTTTTTCTATAGCCTCCTTTTATTTACACGTGGGGGAAAGAAGAAAAAAAGACAATGGAAAAATGGATTTGGGATCGAAGACAAATGTCCTTCCCTTGCCTCTCTTGGCATGTATGCTATACATTTCCAACACCTTTGACAGAAAAAACTCACTAATTCAAGAATATTTAATTCAAATTTAGTTTTAATTCAGATATAATTTTTGACTCTCAAGGGCTTAAAGTATAACTGAAAATGCCAATATTCAAAATTAGTATATTAAGAGAATGCCCTCAAAACCTCAATATTAAGAGAACTGTTTTTCTTACTAATTAGTATCTACTTGATTCCTGATTTGTGGGGGGGTTTTTGGGTTTTTGTTTTGTTTTGTTTTCTTGAGACAAGGGCTCCATTCTGTAGTACAGGCTGGGCTTGAACTCACTATACAGCCCAGGCTGGCCTCAACTTACAGCGATCTTCCTGCCTCAGCCTCCCAAGTCTGGGAATACAGACATGCTTGGGCCACCATATCCAGCTTGTGATTTGTATTTTTTAAGGCAACTGAACATGGTAACTGTGTTTGATAAAAAATATTTTTAAAAGTAAGAACTTTTACTAACATTTCTTTCTCTTTTACTCCAGGGGAGCTAAGTCTAATTTTTTTTTTTGAAACAGTCCAATAATAAAAGAGATAAATGTGTTTCCTTTTAAAAGTGGACACGTAGAGGATAAGAAAGGGAAAAATAGATCATAAGGTGAATTTTTTGGTAGACCATACAATGATACCTTCCCTCTGTCCTTTCTTTTATAGAGATTTTTGCCAGACAAGTTTATTACAGTTAATGCTTTTGTTGGGCAGGGGTGGCGGGTGGTAAGACACCGAACCCAGGGCCTTCACACTGTGCTGCATCGCTATAAGGACAGATCTCTTTATTTTGAGACAGGACGTCACTATGGCACTAAACCGCCCAGGCTGGGCTCACTCTTTTTATCCTCCTGCCTCAGATTCCCAGAAAGCTGGGATTATACGCCACAATTAGGTCAGTTAATGCTTCTTTCATCAAGCATTCAAATGTCCTGATTTCTGCTAGATATTTTAGAGCTGTTCCAGCAGGAATTTATCGTCATCAAGTAGATCTTTTTCGGAAAAACTCGGGTCCGGAAAAGAAAAACGTAGCGAATAGCGAGAACCTGCAAAATATTACCAACATAAGCTCGTGTATCTTTCACTGCCTCTATACTCTGTGCTCTCCTTTCTCAAGCATTCTCATATTCTGATCCTCTTCTCCCACAACAGAACAGACAAAAAGAGAATTTTTACACAAGACCCCATCGCGAAGACCTGAGTCTATGAAAACTACTTTTCTGTCTAAAAGCAGAGGCGATCGTGAAATCAAGCCAAAAATTCGCGAGGTACCCTAAACTGCCAGAAGTTTCAACGACACGGGGTCCAGGTCCACCGAAGGGGTCAAGAGCAGCAGCAACCGCCGAAACCATGGCGACGGTTGATGCTGACTGGGGATGTGCGACGTCAGACCTGCGGCAGCGGTCAGCGTGCACGGGAGGCGGTGCTAACCGACGGGCGAACTCAAGTCACCTACCGCCGGACACTGCGCCACGCCAGGCCCAGGAATCCTCCAGTGGGCGACTCGGAAGACCCCCAACCCGGGAGAGGGACAGCGGGAAAAAGGGCCCTGATGTCCTCGGGGTAAACGCACGGGCCCCAGAAAAGGATGGGAGATGACGCCACGGAGTAAAGCAATTCCATCTACTCACACTTCTCCTGGGCTCCCAGAACTGCTAGGGGCGGGAAGGGGACGATTCCTGGCCTCCTTTAGTACACAGGAGCCTTCACCTCTCCTCGGTCAAGCACACAGTCTCCGCCATCTTGAAACCTCGCGCCCCTCCGCCCTCCCTGCGTCATTTCCTGTCCCTGGAGCCTAAAATCTCTTAGCGCCGCTCGGTCCTGGAACCATAGAGAATACCCAGGAACTCTACGACGAGAGTCGCTTCCGCTCTAAGACAATATCCAATTGGTTGATTTTCGCCAAGAGCCCGCCTCCTTACGGACGCACGTCAATTGACACTAGTCTAGTCTAATAGAAATAAAAAGGAATCCGTTATGCGATTGGCTGGTTACCGTGCCTCTTAGTCCGGAGCATTCTGACCTAATTTCCGGAAAGAGCTTGCTTTGAGCCTCCCAAAGCGGTTCGTTTGAAAATAGGGAGGAATTTGCATTTTGTCACCTTGTGTTGTGTTAATCGTTGGATTTTTACTTTTTCTATGGTGGAAGCGGATGAAAAATGTTTCCTTCTCTGTTTGAAAATGAATTCTCGAATAATATTTGTCACCGTGTTTTTTTTTTTTTGTCTTTTTGAGACAGGGTCTCACTATGCAGTTCAGACTGCACCTTGAGCTCACTTTGTAGCCCAGACTGGTCTCGAACTCGCAACAATCCTTCTGCCTCAGCGTCCCGAGTGCTGGGATTATAGCCCTGCGCCACCACGACCGGCCGACACCGTGTTTAATGTGCTTTGCAAGCATCTGATAATCCCACGTGGGTGCCTGGTGGGTCTGGAAATTCAGTAGTAACTTAAAAACACAGAGCATTTGGAGACCTGAAGAAATAAACCAGTGTCGTCTTAAACCCCCTAGATTGCTCACATACAGGGTTAGATTTTTTTGAACAGGGAACGTAGGGGATATATTCGCAGTTTTTCTTTTTTCTTTCTTTCTTTTTTTTTCCTTTTTGAGACAGGGTTTTGCAATGCAGTTCAGGCTGGCCTTGAACTCACTTTGTGGCCTAGGCTGGCCTAGAGCTCTCAGTGATCCTCCTGCCTCAGCCTCCCGAGTGCTGGGATTACAGGCGTCGGCCACCATGCCCAGCACGCAGTTAGTTTCAAGTTTAGGTGTGGTGAGGTTGATAAATAGTAGCTCTCTTACTGGACTTGTTACTAGCCAAAGATCTTTTATGTCTCTGTGCATACAGGATTAGTCACATACTTCTAATGTTTGGCCTTTCTATACTCTCCTTGAGACTCCCATCTTTTCTTCTTAAAGGTAAGTATTTTTTTTTAAAAATTCTGCTTTTAAAAGGCATGCTTGGTTTATGTTAATCTAAGCATCTCTCCTAGAAAAAAAGAAAAGGTGAATTCTTACTATAAATTGAGGTAGAGGCCTCTCGGGTCGAGGGACCTGGGCCCGTGGCAAGCGGCGGCACCATGAAGAGACACCGGAGACCAGGCTGATGGCGCAGATCTACTTTATTGTGGAAGTACCAGGCATTTCATAGAGCGGGATAAGGGCGTAGGAAAAGGGGGCATAGCAAAAGGGGGCATAGCAAAAGGGGGCGTAGCAAAAGAGGGCGTAGCAAACGGGGGCGTGATTATCGAGGGGAGGCACCGAGGGAGGGGCAGAGCGGGACAGCCTGGGCGGGCGACTCACTCGGTCTGCCGAGGACATGACAAATCTAAGTCTGCTCAGACTCGCTCCTCTGCCACGGCCGTCAACCAGACCTCTGGGCCCGTTTCCCACAATAAATTATGTCAAAATAACATGCATGGAAATGCATGTTAGTTTTTAGCCAAATATTTAAATATGCCCTTAACAGTATAAATGGGGTTCATTTCACTAAAATTTCATTTCACCAAAATTTTCATATGACTATTTAAAAATTGTGAGATATGCTAAATATTTTTGTATTTCAAGATCTTTTTGTAGTTGGATATAAGAGTAAATTCTAACCAACACCTGCTTGAGCCAACACTATGATAATTTTGGAAGTACAGTATAGATCCTAAATCAGCCTCAGTGGAAATTACCAGTTGGTGAAGAGTTTAGAAAATAAATGCTTGCATCTACAGAAAATCAGCTGAACCGGGAAGCCTCTATAGCCTCTGGAATTTTTCTGAAACCAGGTATTTAGTAAAATGGGCCACCTAGTGCTTTATGTGGCAGAAGAAGCTGTCTCCTTTCTGCTAGTATTTTTCTTTGTTTGGCTTTTTGAGACAGGGTCTCACTATGCAGTTCAGGCTGGCCGTGAGCTCACTATGTACCCCGCGCTGACCTCGAACTCGAAGGGATCCTCCTGCCTCAGTCTCCTGAGTGCTGGGATTACAGATATGTGCCACCACGCCCAGCCCTAATGCTAGTATTGAAAATGAGATTATATTTTTTTCCCTAGAAAAATCTTCATAAATTACAACTTTTCTTTGGCTAATACGTCCTTCAGAGTGGTGAATTCCTCTTCAGCATCCTAAATGTATGTTATGCATGTGTAGCTGAGAGTCAGCTTTTTATTGTTTTTAGTGGTACTTAGACATCACAGCTGATAAGCATTGATTGCTGTTATAGAAACTTTTATCATTTTAATGTTAATTTTTTTTTTTTTTTTTTTGGTTATTCTCCGGTACCAGGAACTGAACTCACAACCTTGCGCTTGCCAGGCAGGCGCTTTGCTGCTGAGCTAAATCCCCAGCCCCTTAATGTTAATTTTTGATCCATCCAAATTACCCTGTATAATCAGTCGTTTATAGATTTATTGTCTTTTCATCATTGTAGCCTATCATTACACACCATGTGTAGTCTCTTTCAGTTTACAGATTAAATTGGAGTTAATCTAGCAGTCAGTAATATGATAGTACCTATTTCTGTTTCATTCAAAGTCTCCAGATTTGTGCCTAACAAGAAATTACTAAGAATGTCTCTCTCTCTCTCTCTCTCTCTCTCTCTCTCTGTCTCTCTTTTGAGTCAGGATCTCACTATGTAGTTCACAATTCGCTATGTAGCCCGGGTTGGCCTCAAACTTGTGGCAGTCCTCCTGCTTTAGCCTCCTGAGTGCTGGGATTATAGGCATGCACCACCACACCCGGCAAGAATGTCTCTTTAGAACTAAGTGATGTCAGAAGCTAATGATAGAAATGAAAATCTGCATTCAATGTAAGTTTTAAGGATTTTAACAGGAGTTTAGAAAAGGAAGAAGTAATCTCTCCACCTTCTGCTTTATGATAACATTTACCCTAGTGCAGATCTATGGGAGAGGGTGAAAAAACATTCTGGGATATAATCTTTTACTTGGAATGATTTAGCACCAACTGATCCAGGCATTTGTTGTTGATGCACAACTCAAGAATCATCTCGTTTTATTACCTCCAGTTCTTTCAAAAGTGTTTACCCTATTTATGTCCATATGGGAAGCACGTGGAAAAAGAACCTAATCAAAAAAGCAAGCACTGTTACTTAGAAGAAAGCAGAAGAACATTCCATTGGTAGTAAAATGACTCTTCATTTCATTTGGTATTTCACTGTATCGATGACCTCAGTAATGGCGTTATTATATTTTTCTGACGCTGACTTGAACTCCACCAGATGCTTCTCATAGCTTTTGATGGCTGTTTGAAGCTGTGTTTTCTCCACTGCTCCCAGGATGGCACGGAAGATCATATCTATGCCAAGGCCCAAAACGGCAACTCCAATACTGCCAAGGAGAGAAGCACCAATTTGAGCTAAGACAGTGACCAACTTGTTAATTATGCCAGTTGCGATGTTCGAGCCCACGAGTTTAACAGCCACTGCACTGGCTGCAGATGTGGCTTCTCCCACAATAACTGACATAACCTTTTGTACTATTGCAATTTTCTCTGTTTCCCGTTCCTTAATATCCTGAAGTTTTCTATAAAGGGTTGGCTCTAGTTTTTCTTTTAGTGCTTCATCCACCTTTTGTAGTTCCTTTTGAATTTTTGTCACAGCATCAATGATGATATCACAGTTTTCTTTTATGGTACCATCTCTTTTCATTTCAATGAAGGCCAGCCTGCACCCCAGGTGCACGTTTAAGACATCTATGAGCTTATTGGTGGCATGGAAGCTGTCAGATAAGCAATCAAGGAGCTGCTGGTGAAGACGGTTTACTTCCTGCCGCCTCCTTGGGTTCTCTGGGTAGAGGAAGTCGCTCTGTGCCATATTTCAATTATCTCTGAAAAATAAAATAATAAATCCACTTAAAGTCTTAAAAATTATCTACTGTCTTAGTGAATCTGATCAGAAAGTCTTACTTTACATATAACGCAATACCACTAGGTTTTCTAAAAGAATTCCCCTGAACTCTCAACAGGTTTTTGAAAGGAATTATTTTTATTAAATTTGGATCGGTGTAGGGAAAGTGTAGGCAACAGAATACAACCCATTGGTGCATAAATTGAGCCATTAGATTTTGTGGTGGGGAATTCTAGACAAGAAATAATTCATGTTTATTGTGTGGTTATTAATAAACATGGTTATTTCCAGGTAATATTTAAAAACTTGTTTATGCAACAGAGCCTTATTAGAAATGGTTAGCACTTGACTACTCATGCTCCTTAATTTCCCTAATCCCAAGTCCTCGTATTGAATTTACCTACAGATTGATTTCTCTAATATTTGGAGTTAAATTTCTGACTAGGGCTACTGATACACATTTTCTGTCATATATTTGGTTATATTAATTTAAAATATTCAAATCACTTTATAGGCAAATTATTTGTTTTTTAAGCCTAAGAGCTATTCAGAAGCAACACACATGTAAAGTTGAATCTTTAAAAACATTCTTTATGATAAGAATATGTATACATTTTGTGGGCTAACTTTGCATTTGGAGAGAAGGTGGGCATTGTGTGAGACAGTACAGTTACTAATCTGGGATTCTCCATTTGCAGACTTGTGGATTATTTAGAATTGTCTATATTGTACTTGACTGTTTGTAAGATAAACTAGAATTAGGGTCAGAAAAGATAATGCTTTTCTTTTTTTGAGACAGGATCTCATGTGTAGTTCAGGCTGACCTTGAACTCACTGTGTTGCCCAGGTTGGCCCCAAATTCATGGCAGTCTTCCTGCCTCAGCCTCCAGAAGGCTGGCATTGCAGGTATGCACTATCATACCCAGAAATAATGCCATCTTACAAAGATATTAAAGAATACATAGTGAAAAACATCGTAGGGTGAATATACCTAATAGGAGACCTCTTGTGTTTGTACTTCTTATACTTTGGCTCACAGTGCTATTTAGAGAAAAAAAAAAAAAAAGGAACTAGCATGTCCTTTTGAGATTTGGCTGAACAGTCCAAGTTTAAGCCCCCAAAAAGCAATAATTCACTTAATTTGCATACTTTGAATAGGCTTCCTGTGTGACTGAAAGTTTTATTTTTCCGTTTTTTTTTTTTTTTTTTGAGACAGGGTCTCCCTGTGCAGTTCAGGCTGGCCTTGAGCTCACTTTGTAGCCCAGACTGACAACGAACCTCCTGCCTCAGCCTCCCAAGTGCTGGTATTTTTCTGTAAAACTTGTATGAAAATGAAAAAACAGGGAATCTTCTGTCTTTGAGGGATCTGAAATATTCTTTGAGTAAGCAACATCCTGATTTATTTGGGCCCTATCTATTCTGACATCATGGTTCTTAGTCAAGAAAGTAAACATGAAAATAACATATCTTTAAGCCAGGTGTGGTGGTACATACTTATAATCCCAGCACTCAGGAATCTAAAGCAGGATTGCTGTGAATTTGAGAGCAGTCTGGGTTACATACTAGTGCATTCAAGACCAGTGAAACCTTTTTTCAAAAACCCAAAACAAAACAAACAAACAAACAAACCCAACCCATAAATGACACACACACACAAAACCCTATCCTCCAAGACATAAAGATGTAATTTGGAAATTGAAAGGAGAAACATTTTCTAAAATAGATTAAGAATACACAATAAATAACTATTTATTTGTTCATTCAGAAAATTGCACTGAAGCTCCCTGGTAGAATGAACTGTCATAGATACAAATTCACTTTATCCTTGATTCAGATCTTACACACATGTGTGCACAACACACAAGAGACGTAAATTTCCACCAATCAATATTTGGAAAATTTTCTAATTCTATTCCATTTTTAAAAAAAATTGCTCGGGGCTGAGGGTTTAGCTCAGCGGCAAAGCACCTGCCTGGCAAGTGCAAGGTCGTGAGTTCAGTTCCTGATACTGGAAAAAAACCAAAAAAAAAAATTGCTCATTAAGGGCCTACTAAGTATTTCCTAAACTTTCCAGTGTGTTGCAAATTACAATCTGATAACCACACATTTGGATTTTGAGTTTTTTTTTCCTTTTAAAATTTTCATTAAACTCTCTTAGGGGCTGGGGATTTAGCTCAGCGGCGCAGCACCTGCCTGGCAAGCGGAAGGTTGTGAGTTCAGTTCCCGGTACCGGAAAAAAAAAAAACAAAACCAAAAACAAAGTCATTAAACTCCCTTCCTCCTCCATCTTTTCCTCATTTTCAGATATTATGAACTAAAAACTCTAGTTTCTGACTTTGAATTCAGACAACAGTCAACTACATCACTATTCAGATATTTAGGTGAGAAGCATCTTTCTTACTCTGAGAAATTGGAAAGTATCTCTAGCATCTATGACTATAGAAAGGCATAGCTTTCTGAAAAGGTGTGTGTTCTGTGTACCTCCAGAGAAATGGAAATGTGAAACTTCCTCCTAGATGGGAGGCTACTGCTTCCACAGGTCAGTTCTTTTTCAATTAAGTGAATATTTTATCACAATTTCACATATTAATCATTAAATGTATCTGAAAGACAACGAGTGAGACTGCTTAAATCTTCGGGAACAGTAATGTCAGGAAACCCTCCCCCATATTAAGACATCATGAAAGCACAATATTAAACTAATATAGAGGTGCAAGGGCAGTCCTCAAAGCAGATCTTTCCATCTCTTAAATAGTAAATGCTGAATCTCATAAAGGGTTGACACGGTGGGGTACTCTTTGGAGATAAAAATTAACAAAAATTATTAGCATAATACATGTAAAAAATTGCCCACCCGACATCCCAAATGGGATAAAACAGCTAGGAGAAAATGAATAATTTCCAGATGCCTTCACAGAGGAGGATTTCCTAAACCTAGAGCCAACAGAGAAAAATCACATGCAAAAATTTGACCAACAAAGATGATCATGTAAAAAGAACTGAACGCAAACTGGGAAAATGCAAGAAAAATGAAAAAAAAAATTGAAAAGATTTTATTGTTAAAAGCAATAATGATATAATAGCTAAATGAGCAGTGAATTTTGAATGAATAATAAAAGAAGAATAGCTAATAAATTGGGAAAGATTCAGTCTTATCAGAAATAAAACTGCTTTTTCAACTACACAAGGAACTTTTTTTTATAAAACGCTTTTAAATACTCAAACCCTAGTACTTGCAGTCTAGGATCTAGATACCAATCTATGGTTTTGTTTCAATAACAGGTTGGAATTACAGACACCATGATGTGTTCAGAATAATATTACTTTTTAATGAGAAAGTATTTTTTTTTTCCTTGAGTTAGGCTTACCTTGCTAGCTCTTTTTTTCTTGGGTGGGAACTAGAAAAGTTTAGTTATGAAAATATATCCTCTGCAAGGCTGCCAGCAAACCTGCTCAGGTAGATCTGGGGTCCAGTATGGAATACAATTCAAGGTTCCTTCCACTCCCCAAATGGGATAAAAAGTGCTAGAGAATTAGGAAGAGCAGAGGTGGAGATTGAAGGTAAAACCATTGAATTATGTTTTGGATAGAAGAACCTGGTGAAGAAAGCAATGTATTATCAGAAACAATTGTTAAATAAAATGTTTAGAAAGCCATTGTTTTGGAATAAGCACATATATTAGGCTCCAAAAAAAGAAAAAATAGAACAAAGAAAAAAAAGACCCTCACAATAGTCTCTGAAACATGAAGTTCTGTTTCACCAAGTCAAAAACTAGGTGTTATCTGGCTTTCCAAGAAGGCAAGAGACAGAGAAGAGCTAATTTTGCCAAACAGGCCAGTGTCTGCCTTATAAAGGAAATAACTTTGAAATGACCTGCTTGTTTTCTGTCTCTATTTTCTTTAGTCTTTTTCTATCAATAAAACCAACTGTCCCTGCTCAGATTACCAAAACACTTATTCTATTTTATAGCATGAGATCTTGCCCTATTGTAGAATCACAAATAAAGCCAATTAAAGTCTTTAAGCTAAATTGTTATATATATTTGTGTTTTGGCACCCTTTATCTAATAGGTAGCAAAGCACATAATAAAATGATGTCTACTTTCTTGGAATTTCTAATCTTATTAGGAAATTAATATAGATTAATAACCGTAGTGTCAAATTGAAAGTTATTTGTCTTACAAAGTTACAAGAACTGTTGAAATTTGGCTTTTGTAAGTGCAAACTTTAAACAATCTACATTTTAATATATACTGACACCGAGGCCAGACGGAGACAATTTGGTCATCCAGGGAAGGTTATTTACACTCTTTCAAAGCAATTTCCTTAAATACGTGCTTGATAATTAAGGACAGCTACACACCACCTGGAGAGTTGTAGTTGGCAATATTCAATGTCTGCATTATTGCCCTTAACGATTTAGTTTTGAACCCAAGTTAATTACTCCATTCAGCAAAACAAACGACCTGAAATTGGAGTCACTCTTCTTAAAATTCATGGTTGCTACTCCGGGAGAGCTTCAGTTGAAATTTTACCAGTAATATAACCCTGTGCCTGAGAGGAGTTCGGGGCCATGTGCTTGCTTTCATTTTATTATATTTTCAGGGATGACCTAGTGACTTAAAGATCATGGCATCAGCAGGTAGCTCGGTGGTGTATTTAATGCAGCTCTGATTGACAACACCTTTGCATGGCAAATGTGAACTTCTATATAATTTGAGTTATTCCATAATGGTGCATCTAATCAGTGAAAAAAATTCCATTTGAAGAGTTACTATCCACTTTGTTGCAGAGTTTGTGCCGTTATTTGAATATTTACCTGTAGTGCTCCATGAAATGAGTCCCTGACAGGCGGATAAGGAATTGCTGACCAGCAGGAGGAGCTCTTGGTCTCTGGGATTCCAGTTTCACCTAAGCCTTTGCTAAAGGAATTGTGCTGTCTTGATCTCACTTTTGGTCTCTCTGGCGGGTAAAACTTTAGATGAGAAAGTTTCATTACTAAAACAAAGATTTGATGTGTTCTTTAATAAACATTACAAGAGAACAAATCTGAAAGTGTTAATAGAAACAAAGATTTGCTTGAAATGGATGCGAGTTGGACCTAACCTCAATTCTGTTGAGTTAGGAAGTAACATGCATCATTAAAGACGTAAGAACTAGTAAAAATATATGGATGATTAGGTATAACAGTTAAGATTTACTTCCTGATGTTATATAGTTGATTTTGCTTTTCACATAACAAAACGAAAGTATATTGATTCCACAGTTTTCAAATAAAATTTTCCAGGGTCCATTTGTGAATAACAGTGGTGCACTGTCTGCTAAGTGCTATAGGAATTTAAAGACAATATCTGAGGCAGTTACAGGACTCTTTATGGAGAAAGTGACGTATGATTTGCATTCTGAAAGATCGTAGTTATAACATGGAGAAATAAAAAGTGAAAAGTTTGTAAAAGAAAGTATTTTTCAGTATAAGACCATTGTCATGAATATACACAGACTTTCTAAAATAGATGAGAAAAAGTACCCAAAATTTATCATTTTAATTACTTTTGTTTTTTGTTTGCATGCTTTTCTAAAATTTAGTTTTCTAAAGCAAATTTCTAAAGTTTGGTTTTCTAAAATTTATTTGCATGTATAACTATCTTAATAAAGTAGTGCAAATAAAATTCACTTCAATACCATTTTCTAGTTTTATAAATATTTTATTGGTTACCTGAACTATTCCATATCTTTACCATCATTTAATTGTTTTACTACTGCAAATAATGTTCTAATGAGAACTTTAATACAGGTTGGTTGTTTTCTCCGTCTATTACCTGAATTATTTCCTCAGGATAAATAGGTAGAACTGTATAATTAATTTTTTATTGCTTTTGGCATGTACTGCAAATCAAAAATAAATTTTTATAGCAGGGTACTGGGTATCCTTCAAAGTCAAAGATGATCCTGTTGAAATATTGTTGATTTGGGGGAACGTAAGGTTAAATTTTAGAGCTGTACACTGAACATGTGTCTTGGTTACTTTTCTCTCGTTGCTGAGGCAAAATACCCAACGTCCAAAATGAAGGAAGGAAAGGTTTATTTAGCTTACAGTTTGTGGAGGTTTCAGTCCATACTTGGCTGGCTCCGAGGCAGAAGGTAGCAAAGCAACAAGAGCAAAGAGGGGAATGGCAGCCGAACAACAAACAGCCAGAGCAAACCGGGGAAATGGTGGCAAGCAGCTTCTTTCTTGCCTTACATCGTAAACAGGCTACCCCCACCTAAGGGGCGTGTAGCTCTCACATAATCTCCATGCCCTCCTCTTCCACAGGCTCAGGATGAATACAAAGTAAGCACCCTGGCTTCCTGCTGAGTCACTTAGCCAAACCTCTAGACTCCCCAAGTTGACACAATGTTTCAACCATAACAACATGTTAAAGATGAAATGTTTTGGTGTCTGAGATTTACTTCCAAATAATCTGGAAAGAATAGTTAGGGGAGGATTATAGAGAAAGTAAAATTGGCCTCATTCTGATACATTTTCAAACTGGGTTATGGAAATTTATTACATCATTGCCTCTGGTTTTAGGTATATTTGAATACCTAAGTATTTTTCCCATAATAACAATTAAAAAAGAAAAACAAACAAACAAACCTAGCCCTAAGTCTCTGATGGTTTGTCATTATCATGATTGCTCTCTCAGGTTTTACATTCCTGTCTGTTTTCCTGTTTCTCTCTGTCCTTGAATCATGCAAGGTTTGCTTTTTTGGGAATATGGAAATAGGGTATAGTCTTAACTAGAAACCTTGCAGGAGAAGAGAAGTTACTGTCTAGTTCTGAGCTTTACTTAATATTAACTGAAGCCATGGACTTTAATTTTTTATAAGTTAATTGTTGTGTGAGCCTGATCTAATTTTCAACCAGACAGTAGTACTACTTGAAACCAGAAAGCAGCATATCAAGGTTACTTAGCATTTATCACATGTTCACTTATGAAGTGCACCTTGAAGCATCTAGGGAGAAAAAAGGAATGCTCCTTACCCTGAAGAAGATAATGAAGATCTTTGGAGACACTCAGCAAATACTTAGGATATTTAAATATAATTTAACTTATGAAGGAGGATAAGCTCATGAGTATGAGTCCACATTCACCCTTCACAGATAGTCAGTGCCTTTGTTAATGTAAATGACATAGATGGAGATGTTACCACCCGTATAAACAACACAGATTCACACAAGTGTCATTTCATCCTTCAGTTTTTCTAAATTCTAAGCTTTTTTTCTAAGTCTTAGAAGTTGTTAATCTTTTTCCTTAGTGTAGTCAGAAAAATAATCATACATCAAAAATGCCATGGTATCCTCTTATAATATAGCTACTATTTTATTTATGGCTAAGATTTAAGACTGACATGGTATCCCCAATTCCTTTTATGTTGACAGAGTATTATATCAATACTAATAGAGATATCCATGTTACTTACCTTGCCGTGTTTCCGGGTTTGTAATTTCAGCAGTTGTTTATGGGTATGAAGTGCTTTTCATCTGGTTTCATCTGGGTGTTTCTGGTGGAATGTGATGACTTACAGGCTTTGCTGGTCTCTGCTGGGTCCCTCTGCCTGTCTGGTTTATGGGCTGCTTCTGCATAGTTCAGTCCTCAGATTTCTTCTGTTTCTTTGTACACATATAGCGTATGTTAAGTAGTATAATTTGAAAGACTAAAACTTATTTTTAAAAATTTCTGTTATCTAATGGAATTTCCATTGTTGAAAGGCACTTCCTCAGTGAACTAATTCAATTCAGTAGGAAAGATGGCTTTTTTGTCATGGCTCTGAGATTTTGGGATTCCAGCTTTTGACCAATACACATATTAGGTTTCCATTCATTGCTACACATTTGCATCTTTATCTGTTGCTAGTTGCTTTGTTTAGGTTCTCAAAAGGTATAAATCCAGATATAGCCAAATGTGTCTTTTAAAACAATTTTTACTCTTCTTTCCAGCAGGAGTTCTGCTGTTTATCATTAGCTCCCTTTCTATCTTGGTGAGTTCTACGGACAGTATAAAATTTTTAAAGACCAACTACATTCCTTCCCTTTAAAGCTTAGAATCTTTCATGTTCTTTCCTCTGCTGTTAGTCTAATCTCTAATAATCCTTCTATAGCAAAAACACCTCAAAATCAGGGCAATCACTGAGCCCCACTATAACTTAGTAGAAAGACCACACACTTTAGATTCATATGGTCTGGGTTTTGTGTACCAAAAGTACTATTTACTAGTCAAGTAACTCTGGGAACATCACCTAACCTCTTTTAAATTTTTTTTTTTTTTTTTTTTTGGTTTTTCTCCGGTACCAGGAACCGAACTCACGACCTTGCGCCTGCTAGGCAGGCGCTTTTGCCGCTGAGCTAAATCCCCAGCCCCTAAATTTTTCAACATTGATGAATTCATAAGCTATGAATTATCATAAGGGTGAAATGAGATAATTTATGTAAAGCACTTGGCATAGTGGTTGGTATATGGCAAAAGCTTACAAATGATAGCAATTTTCATACTAATAGCAATATCTCCTAGTTGGGTTGGGAGAAGGATAGGTAGAGGGTACAGAACAGATGTGCCACTAAGAGATTTGTAGGGTTTAATGGTGCTGTCCTGTGATCCTAAAGAATGGGCCATGTGAGGGTATGTTTTTTACTTTTGTTTCAATGGATCTGTAGTCCTTGATATATTCTAGGGACCCACCATGAGCTAGATATGGATGATAAGTAGGATTTATGCAGGTGTGGGATATGGAGGAGATGATGCCGATAGAAGAAGCACTGAGCAAAAGAAGTGAATACAAATTATAGAGCATTTTTAAAGAGCAAAATTAATCTACTATCCTGGTTGTATGTATGATAGCAGTTAAGGGACAGTAGGAAGTGAAAAATTTAGAATAGCTTGCAGATAGATTTTGATGCCATGGTAAAAAGTTGTATTTTATTCACTAAGCAATATTGAACCACTAAAGGTTTTTTTTTTTTTTTAATTATGAGATAATACATGGGAGTTTGGATTTAAGCAAAGCTATTTTATATAAATTAAGTTAGTAGATATGGAAAATAAATCACGGGTCATTAACTCCAATACCTACAGTAGTTGGATAAGATATGTTTGTCACTTGTCTTACCTTAAAACAGTTGCATTTTGTTACTGAAAAGAATATTGTTGAGGAGCACTGTTTTACCCACTTGTACCTAAGCTAGTGTTTGTTTCTCTTCTATTTCCACCCTTCTAATATTTACTTACTATTGCCAGCCCTTTCTCCCACCACACAGAGCCAAATTGGAGTTACCATGATTGAGGCACAAACAGAAACAATATAAAAGATGTAGACACACTGTACTAGACACTTCTTCAGAATTGTTAAGAGAAAAACTAGAAGCAGTATTGACGGAGCTCCATTGGTAATCAATTTGAACTTCTTAAATCCTCCTTGACTACAGAAAATAAAGGCATCAAATCAATAATCAAAACTGAACTGTAAGCAGGAGCTTAACTTTCCTAGTCCATGGCTTGGAGTCAAGGTGGTACCAAAGATTCAAGAAGGCTAATTTGGCAAGTTTGATTGTTGGGACGAGGGTGATGGTGGATGTGTAAAAGCTCAGTGAGATCTCAAAACTGGCAGGCTTATAGCATCCCTCTTGATAGGGCCTATTGCTAGACATGCTCCTCCTTTTTTCTGAATGTCATCCTTTGTTTTCCTGAAAAGCTCTACCCAAAAACAATAAATAACCTGACTTCTTCCCAGAATAATCTGCCTGGTTCAGTAATAGCTCCAGGACTTCTGAATCCTCCATTAACAAGCAAACCTAAGAAAGTAACTTTTTAACAAAGAGCTTCTTTTATTGCTTCACATCATAGACTTTTCCAAGTGCATAGATTACATGCATAATGTAATAAATAATGATCTAATATAAGATTGTAAATAATATCTAATCTAATAAATAATATATTCATATATTACAATGATCTAATAAATAATGTAAGATAGTCATCTTATTTGTAACACTTGAAATTATTGGTCAATTCTTTTAATTCTTTTAGAAATGTATAATTCTGTTCTTTTTCTTGTCTTTTCAAACATTCCTTCAATTTTTTTTCATTCCTTAAATTTTTATATGGATGCTTCTTCCTCTTTTTCCTGCCCTTAAATATTGGTGTTCTTTTTAAAATTTTTCAACATTGATGAGTTCCTAATCTGTGAATTCCACATTTGCCTCTTTTTTACTTTTATGTATTTTCCCTTCGTGATTTTATTTAATCTCATGGTTCTGTTATCTTTTGTTGATGAACCCCAAATAGGTAGCTGCTGTTCAATAATTTTTCCTGCACTTTCGGTACATATCTCTAACCAGCCATCTCGACAGCTCTGGTGTGGATGTTTTAGTACCTCAAGTAATGAACAAAATGTACCTCATTATCTTGAGCTGCTCATGCAGTCCTCCATTATGTCTTAATTTTTCTAAGTCAAATTTTCCTACATAATATTAAAAACCATTACAGAGAGATTTCTTGTGCACTTTTCTCAGATTGTCCCGATGGTAACACCATGAAAATCTATAATGTTACACCTAGAATATTGACATTGGTATGACCTACCAATGTGTGTGTCTGATTTATTTCACTTAACAGTATGGTCTTCAGGTGTATTCATTTCCCAGCAGAAGACTCATGTATTTTTTATGGCAGAATACCATTTTATTGTGTATAAATACCACATTTTCTTTATCCTTTCATCTGTTCGTGGGCCTGTGGGTTGCTTCCAGAGATACTGAACATTTTTTCATGTACAGTATTTATCGACCATCTGTACTACTTCTGAGAAGTGCCTATTCATTTTAGTTGCCCATTTTTTGATGGGGTCTTTTATATTGGGGGATCTAATATACTCTAGATATTAGTCCTCTGCCAAAGGAATATCTTTCTAAAACCGCTACAGGGGCTGGGGATTTAGCTCAATGGCACAGCGCCTGCCTGGCAAGCGCAAGGTTGTGAGTTCGATTCCCGGTACTGGAAAAAAAAATCCAAAAAATAAATAAATAAAACCACTACAAAGGACACCTTGAAAAAGCTGCAAGAGGCATTAGAAACTGAGAATGCCAGCAAGCCCAGAGAGTCAGCAGCAGATCATTTGGAACAAATTGTCAGGGCTATGGAACCAACTGTACATATCCTTCAAAAAGGTGTACAAACGGTGGAAACTAGCATTTCCAAGTCTAAGAAGGTCGTTGACAAGTTAGGAGTACAATAGAGGACATCTGTCAGAAAGTTACTTCAAATTCTGTGATTTTTTAAATAGTACTTTCTGTTATACCAGCCTTGTGGAATGTTAGGGCATAAGCACAGAGAATAGTCATCTGACACAGCATTTGCTTACTGTTCTGCTTGATTACATGAAAAGGAATAATCAAAAGAGACTTTCTTGAAATGACAGTCATTAAGAAGGCTATATTGCTATCATATCAGTATGTTTGTGATATATAAGTATATTTATCTTGAGAAATTGATACACAGACAGATCACATCTTAATCATTTTTACTTTCACTTCCATTCCTAGCTGCCCTCCTCCATCCCCAGATCTTTCTATGTCAACAAAATCTATCTCCTTGCTTCCTTTCTTTTATTTATCGAATTATTTTGATGTCCATGAGAATGGTGGCTTGGGTAGCCCCTTGGTGTTAGGGATAGTGGTTCCATGTGCATAAGGATAGGTGGTGTTCAGGTGCTGGTGGCATCATACTTTCCCCCCACTGAGCACCACCACCCACCATCCACCATCCTGCCCATGCTGTTATCTTTCTACTACTGCCAATTCTTAACTTATGGAAATATTAAGGGAAAGCTACACTCTTCTCAAACCTATTGCTCTTGTTTTATGTTCCTCTTAAATACTTTGGTTTTGGGTTCTTCTTGTTTCATCAAAGTCCATCAGAGTTTGAAGAACATAGTGAAGACTCACTTCTTTCAGTGTTACACTTAGTCTTGCTTCTTCTCTGAAGCCACAAGCATTGCATGGCCTAACTGAACGAAGTGTAAGTGGACAGGAGAGGGTGAACTGTCATAAAACAAAATATGATCATTTAAGAAAGAAAAATAAATTGTGAAAGAATGGAAGGAAAGATGTCTTGTGATATTTGTAATATCCTTCTCCCTACTTTTTAGTTGCCATTGTTTTCTATATCTCAGTGTCTCTGAAAACACTTAGTTCAGTGTTTGTTGAATTTTACCAAATCAAGAACTGGATGGCTTATGGATTCAGATCATTAGACAACTCAATCCAAGAATCCTGATTTCCCAAGCAGGTTAGGTAACTCTAAAACTCTCTTTCTGTAAAGTCAATAGAAAACCTTAGGGTAATCAAGCAGGCATATTAAAAAGAACACTATGAGATAGAAATAACATATTAAATGAATCCAGAGTATTTGGGTGTACACAAAAGGAGAGGTACATATATTACTTTAATAAAATTACTATAGGAGATAATTACTATGCAACTTATTATGTAGTCTTTTTTAACAATCCATATGAATGTACATACAGCTAAGCACTTATTCTATCTCCATGTCTTGGTTACTTTTCTCTTGTTGCTGAGACAGAATGCCCAAAGCCCCAAATTAAGGAAGGAAAAGTTTATTTAGCTCACAGTTTGTGGAGGTTTCAGTCCACACTTGGCTGGCTCCGAGGCAGAGTGGCACATGTCAGAGGGCAAATGTTCATGGCAGCAAAAGATAGCAAAGCAACAAGAGCAACAGAGGGGAATGACAGAGAAGAGCAAGCCTCTTTCCCTCCCTTATATTGTAAGCAGGCTGCCCACCTCAGGGAGGGTGTAGCACTCACACCCATAATCCCAGCATTGGATCATGGATCAATCACAAATCCTAGAAGCCCACCCCATGACTGCATGAGGATTTGCAGGGGGGGGGGGACATGCAGACACAAACCATAACACTCCAGAAGGTATCCCAGCCTCATCAAGGGATTATAATTACAATGGTGTATCAGTCAGAGTTTACTAGAGAAACAGATATAACACAAGATATACAAATGTGTAAGCAATTACAAGTTTGGCTTACAATGATCAGCCACAGAGTTGGATGAGGAAGCGTGCAGAGGATGTTTACACACTGGAGACTGAAGAGTCCAGTCCAAGGTCTAGAGCTCACTGCAGTGTCTGTGCAAGTCTGTATCAGGAGGCTGATGTGTCTGTGATGGAATGCTGAAGAATCTATGACAAAGGCTAAAGAGTCTACACCAGAAGGATGAAGAGTCTCAGGCAAAAGCCAAACAGTCTGCACCAGAAGCCAGGAGATGACCGCCAAGCTGAAGGTGAAGACTGGAGCTCCTTCTCCTACCTGCACCAAGTAGGGGAGATCCTTTACACCCACACCATGTCCGTGCCCTCCTCTTGCACAGGCTCAGCATGAATACAAAGTAAGGACCCTGGTTCCGTGCTGAGTCACATAGTTAACCTAAACTTCTCAAGTTAACATAATGAACAACATCCTAAAGCTGTAAGGGCATGTCCTTTTCACCCCAGGATGTAGAACTGCTGAGCCACTTAATTAAGCTTCTAGACTCCTCAAGTTGACACAGTGTATCAACCATAAGAGATGGAATGGTTAAATTGGTCTCCTATAGTTTCAGAAATTTTAATTTGTATTTTGACTCAATTTAAATCAATTGTCCACTTTACAGATAATGCTCAAAGTTATGGCCTACGGGCAGAGAGTGGGAGAATGTGAACTATGTGCATTTATCCTTAACAAATTTGTAAATCTATATAGTTTCAAAAGAATAATTTCTGTCTCCAGAGATTTGGTCTGTAAAGCAGCATGAAGAAGAAATAAAGTATCATTTTATTTTATTTTTTGGTTTTTTTCTGATACCGGGAATCGAACTTACAACCTCACACTTGCCAGGCAGGCGCTGGGCAGCTGAGCACCGGGAATCGAACTTACAACCTCACACTTGCCAGGCAGGCGCTGGGCAGCTGAGCTAAATCCCCAACCCCTTAAAGTATCATTTTAAAAACTTGGCTATCCCCTTAAGCATCCTAATCACATAAGTCCACAGTGTTCTCAAATGTGCAGCATAGCATAATCATATACAAGATTAATTAAAACATAGATGGCTGACTTACTGTTTCCATAAACTTGAGGTCAGGCACTAGAATTTACATTTTTACCAAATGTTTAAGTGATGTTGATGCTTGCATGTATTGGGCACACACTCTGAACTGTCTGTTTAGAAGAATTATTGTACATAGAAAACGATGATTTCTGATGGTGTTCGAAAGCTTTAGGCTCCTCTGTGGCTCACACTTCTTAACTTTCTGCCAGACCTTGCCTCTTCCTGACCCTATAAGTATGTGACTGATTCCTGACTCTCCTGTTTACCTCTATTTTCTACCTATGTGAAGCCTGTCACTTAAAGTCTCAGCTCCAGAAGAAAACTTTGTCTAGCTACAGGCCAGAGGAACCTCATTTTTCTTTACACTCCAAGCATTTATTATTGGTATTTGTTTTTGAGTATAAGCATCTGGCTTATACGCTTATTATTTCTGCTTATCCCTCTCGTCCCTTAGTCACATTAATCATCTCAAGGTCTTGCCCAAATGCTGCCTTCCAGAAAAACCTTCTTGGCTTCTCCTTTTGCCTCAGTTAGAAGGAATCTCTCAAACTCTCATGAACAGAAAGCTTGATTTTCCTCTTTTCTCTGGTATCTCCTTTGTGACTTGTGTTCTTAATTTCTCTCAGGAGACTATAAACTCATGAGAGATCTGACCTAATGTATTCAACTTTTAGACCCCCCAATACTTTGTATATTAGTTTATTAAATGCGTTTATATGATACGTAAAGAAATATGTGGAAATTGTTGGGTGGCTTTTCCTAACATTTCATTTCACTACTGTGTTACCAAGCTTCGCTGCAAAGCCACCCCCAGGACTCTGCTAGGCACCCACCAACTTGCCAAGGACCTGTGTAGTGACTGTCTACCTGTGAAAACTCTGTACTTGCTTTATTGGACGTACAGGCGAATGCAGCTGGGTGACATAGGTACATTTGGTTCTGTCAGTCTGGAAACCCCCTTGATCATATGTAGTTTCTCCTGACAGATGACAGATGATTTTATGTTGTTAATTATCCATTTAGTTTCTTTGATCATAGCACAGGCCTTTGAAGAAGTCTTTTAGGGGATAAGATGAGCTGATTTTCACTTTTGCTACTATTTTTTTAGACAGGGTCTTGCTAAGTAGTTCAGACTGATCTTAAACTGAACTGTGTAGTCGAAGTTGGCCTCCAACTCAAACTCATGGCGATCCTCTTACTTTTGCCTTCTGAGTGCTGGTATTACAGGCATGAGCCACCAGGCCTGATTTTGTGCTGCAGCTTATAAAACTTTTCTCCCAGGGAGAAACTTTTTCATGCTGTCAGAATTCCAAGTTAAACTGTAGCTCTCACTTTTACTCCATTTACCCCAAATGTAGGGTCTTTAGAGAAAATAAAATAATTTCTGATGTCTCCACCTCAATTGTTTGCTACTTGGGGAAAGAACTGGAGAATATTTTCAGCTGTGAAATTTTATAATTCATAATCACGTTCTCTGTGCATAATGGAGCTCATATATCTTTTATTTGCTTGGCAATCAGGTTTTTCTTTATGCTCTCCTTTACCTCCACACACATCCATGTGTTTTCCTAATATAAATAAATTTTCTATGAAGTCTTAAATTTCCATCTAGTCTTCTATAAACCAACATCTGTTTAAATTTTAACTTTTGTGCTATCTTAGGAATGAGCAAGTTACTGGCAGTGAATGAGATTTCGCTGTTTTTATTAACTTTTCCTTTTATATCTGAGGCTTCCATGCTTCCTCTCATCTGATACTAGTTTGATCTCTGGTGCCGGTAAAAATTTTCAAAGCAAATACCTCTGGACCTCAAAGCTTTTACATCTGATGAAGAATTTATCTTTTGCTTTCTAATTTTTAAAAGAATTGTTCCTATTTAGGATCTCTAAATAAAGAAAACCCACAACAGAACAACAACAAAAAGGAGAGTGTATTCATTGGAACTCCTTCAATTGCTTGAGGTAGAAAATCAAAGTTATTCAGTTGTGTTGATAACATAATTTATTGATTTATGTAATGGAGAGGCTTGGGATGTTCAGCTTCAGTCCCAGTTGGATCCAGACAGAAGCTCATACACTGTCAGTGGGTCTCAGGATCTTCTCATTCTTCAGCTCATCCTTCCTTGCGTTACCCTCTGTCTCTCGGGGAAGCAGTCTCCTCTCCTGGTGGTAAGATAGCTACTAGCAACTATAAGCTCATACCCTGCCTTTGTTCATCTCCACTGAAAAGAAAGGGTCCTACCCTACTCCCCAGACTAGTTCTTTTTTTTTTTTTTTTTTGGTTTTTCTCCGGTACCGGGAACCGAACTCACGACCTTGCGCTTGCCAGGCAAGTGCTTTGCCGCTGAGCTAAATCCCCAGCCCCTGCCCCAGACTCATTCTAAAAAAGCATCATGATGGTATGTCATAGACTCTCATTGGGTCATTTTCTTTTTTAGCATAAATCTCTATGTTCATGAAGCAGAACTATACTGAGTGGTTCATGACTGAGTTACAGGCCATTTCTAGGCACTGAGTGGAGCTAGCTCTGCATCAGATGATAGCTAGGTTGAGTGACTTCCCAAGGGTACTCAGGGTGCCCTGATTTTAAGGAGGTACAGAGAAGCCAAAGCAGAACCAACAAACAGGAAGCTATGCACTGCTCTCAGCAGAAGTATGAGCAGATCGTCTTTCTCGGCAAATAAATTCCCATTTCTACCAAAAAGGGAGAAACCAGTTTTCATTTCATATTTATTTTAAAGGAGCCACAGAATTCCTCTACACTCTGCTTTTGGAAGAGATGATAACACTGGCCAAGAAGCAGATAGACGCAGTAACTATAGGAGTAGAGATGTACTTCTTGCTGGAACCTGTAAGAAACAAAATGAACAAAGCAACAATGAGACGTGTTTTAGGCAGCTGGTATTTAAAAAAACCTAGCTCATTTCTTATTGAATTCACTAATTTAAGATAAAAATTCCTACTAAAAATGTTTGAAGTTAGCTACTTTTAAGAGTATTCTCATAGATTTTTCTAACTCAAACTCGCTTCCTCTGCAGATGATGAAACAGGCACCAAGAAAGTAAGAGGTTTGGTGGTAGAGATCTGAGCCATCTGTCTCTTCAGCCACATTACCCCCCTCTCAATATCATCATCTTCATCACCATTATGAAAACTAATGAGAAGTACTTATTCTACGCTGTGATGTTTTGTTATACATTAGCTTTATTCGATCCTCACAACAAAGCTGTGAGGTATTTACTCTCCTTATCTTCACTTTTTTAGTTAATAAAACTATGACAAAGACATATAAAAAAAACTTGCCCAAATTCACACATCTGGTAAGCAATATTGGTCACATTCAAATTCAGACAGTTTAACTCAACTCTGTTTTTAACTACTGCGTTCTCTGTTGATATGCGTATCTATCCATAGATTTTGTTTAGTTTTTTTTTTTTTTTTGCATTCCTGGGGGTTGAACCCAGAGTTTCACACTTAGCTACATTCCAGCTCATTTTTATTTTTTATTTTGAGACAGGTTCTTGCTTAAACTGCCTAGGTGGCACTCGAACTTGTGACTCTCCATCACTAGCCTCCCAGAGTGCTGGAATTATAGGTTTGGATTACAGATGTGCGAAAAGTATTCACACAGTCTTGCTTGAGACTGTGTGTATATGTGTGTGTGTGTGTGTTTTGCTTAGACATGCTCACCTTTTGCAGGACATTTATGAAAGTTTAGAGCCAGTTATGGCTGATGGAAGCAAAACTGTAAAACAAAGTTATTGTTAGGAATAGATACTAATTAGGAAAACAGTGGTATAGAGAATAAAGTGAGGCAGGAGATGGAAACCTTATAACAGTGGTCTTAATAAAGAGTGGAGGGGCTGGGGATTTAGCTCAGTGGCAAAAGCGCCTGCCTGGCAAGCGCAAGGTCGTGAGTTCAGTTCCCGGTACCGGAGAAAAACCAAAAAAAAAAAAATAAATAAATAAATAAATAAAGAGTAGAATCTCCTCAGCCAAACTTCGTTGATTGCTTAGGGTAGAAAAGGTGTTTGAGGTCAGGAGAGATTCAACTCTCTTTGCCTCAGTATCTGCCCACATTCTTTTATAAGGTGACCAACTGATGGGAAACTATATTTCTATTTGTTTCACAAACATTTTTTTTTGTTTCATGGAAATTATAATTAGAAATATATATATGTGTGTATATATATATATATACACACATATATATACACACTCATCTATCATCTATCTATCTAGTCATTTATTTATCCTGTATCTATCTACAGCATATTTATATCTGTCTGTCTGTCCATCTCAGCAGTAATGTTCAGGTCCAATTTTTGCCAATAACAGTAAACAAAGAAATTAATAGTATATTCGTTTTTTTAAACTTTTGTCAAAGTTTGTGTTAACCTGAAATGCCACAGACTCCTAGGAATAATTAATACCATGTCAGCAGGTCAATAAGTAGAAAGGTTCTCCAACATTTTTGGTTTTATTTTCTCTCTGTTGTGACTAGAGATCACAAGGACATCTAACCCCATGCCTTCCCATCTTTCAATGGGACAAGATAGTGCTTAAGTAATACTAAGTAATATTGCCTGACAGTACAGCAGTGTAACAGAAAGATTATGGTTTTGGGAGGTGATTAGCTTCTGTGTTGAAACCTGTTTGACCCTGACAATGCAAATTACTTTCGTTAAGCCCCAATATTGTCAAGTGTAAAATGAGAACATCTCAAGGATTTTGGAAATACTATTATCACTACCACTAATACTATTAGTATTTCTACCTTCACCAACACCTGTAACAGTTACATAGTTTTCTTATATATCATATGCAATACACTGACCAATGTAATCTTCCTAATACTTGTATGAGATTGGTGCTATTATATCTAGTTTGCAGGTCAGCAAAGTGAGGCAAGGAGAGCTTAACTATTTCTGAGAGATCATACAGTGCAGCCAGTATTTAACTTTGAAAACCTGATTCAAGAGATTGTACATTGAAGCTTCTAGAACTTAAGTCCTCAGTGTTGCCCCCCCCCCCCCGCTGGTCAAGCACATTTATCATAGTTTATCACCCTTCTTGATACTTGATAGTGCTTCTAGGACAATAATTCTTTTGGGTGTCTCCTTCCTCACCAGCTGTTACTTCTTAGACTTCTTTTAGTATTTTTTTCATCCTCACCTTTTAAATTGGAATGTGCTCTATTCGTTATCTACAAACTTATGTAGAGCATTCATCCAGTCTCACCATTTTATAAACCACCTTTCCCCATTAACTCCAAATAGTTATCTCCAGCCTGGGTCACAACCCTGAATTCTAGACCCATACATCCAGCTGTCAATCTGACATTTTAACTTGGATGTTGTTATGGTTTGTGTCTGGTTGTCCTCCCAAAGCCTCAGGTGGTCATGGGGCAGGGTTTTAGAGTTTGATTGATTATGGGTGTGAGGGCTACACCTGCCCTGGGGTGGATAGTTTGCATATGTAAGGGAGAGAAAGAGGCTGCTTGCCGCCATTCCTCCCTTTTAGTGCTTGTTGTTTTTGCTGTGTTCTGCCACCATGAGCTGAAGCCCTCTGCCATGTGCCGTTCTGCCTTGTAACCTTCCAAGTATGGCCTGAAACCTCCACAAACTGTAAGGGAAATAAACCTTTCCTTCCTTAATTTTGGGCGTCAGGTATGTTGTCCCAGCAATGAGAGAAAAGTAACCAAGACAGATGGCTGTTTCACATCTCAGATATAACATGAAAACCTTACTCCTTCTGCCCAAATCTACTCTACCTACAGGCTTCTTCATCTTAGTTAGTTCCAACTCTGTCATTTTAATTACTCAAGCAAAAACCTAGAATTATCCTTCACTCTTCTTTTTTTTCTCTGATTTTTCATATCCTGTGTCAGGAAATCCTCCTGGCTCCGATCTTCAGAGTGTATCCTGGGTGGTCAAATACTATCACCTCCAATGCCAGTTTTCATCTGGATGATTGCAATAGCCTCCTGACTAGTTTCTGTCCTGGAACCTTGCCTAGTGACACAGTATATTTTCAGTAGAATCGAACTGTTAGGTCAATTCTATTAAAATGTCTGTAAAATCTTCTCTGGTTTCTGTTAGGGTTAGAATCTTTCAGTGGTTTCCCACGTGCTTCAAGCTCCAACATTATTCCCATTTTCACTTCCTGCTACTTGCTCCCTCAGTCATTCCCATGCTCTGATTTCCTTGCTGTTGCTCCTGACTGAGGACCTTTGTTCTTGCTGTTTCCTCTTCCACCCCAACTGCTTCCTCTTTTTCTCTGTCATTTCCTGGTGAGGTGAGCAACTTTTTTCTACCGCATGCTCCCTACCATGATGTGTTGCCCCATCACAACCCCAAAAGCAACTGACTGTGGACTAAAACCTCTGAAACAATGAACTGAAATAACCTTTCCCTTTCTATGTTGTTTATCTCAGGAATTTTGTTACAGTAATGGAAAACTAACATAAGCCATCCTAACTAGAATGTTAAACTGTCTTATTTTAATTTTATTCTCTTAGGTTAAAGTAATTTTTCCTTCCTATCTTTCTTGATACTTTTTTCTGTGCCTATCTTAAGGTCATTATTATTTCTGTTTCACATTATTATTTTTATATAGTTAATATTTTTAGAAGGATAAATGAAAAACACCAATAATTAGATTAAATACAACCTTAAAAACTTCTGTCTTTTGAGTATGTCTCACATTATTTTTACTTTCATATTTAGCTTTCTACTAGACTATCTATTCAAAAGTTTTTATTCTCTATCCTATTGTAGTGTTTTTCAAATTGTGGTTGTGATCCATTAATGAATTATGACATTAGATTAGAAGGTCATAGCTATTAATGTTTGATAATGCAATACAAATGGTTATAACAGAAAATACAAACATTGCACTGCATGTATGAAAAGATAACTATTGACATTATATATGAATGTGTGTTGGTATATTTGTGTGTATGTGAACCAAGTTATAAACAATTATAATTAATAGGCTTGAGGATAATTCTTTTTTTTTTTTTGGTACTGGCCATCAAACTCAGGACCTTGCACTGCGGGGCAGGCACTTGTGCCACTGAGCCATATCCCCGACCCCTATAGTCAATAGACTTGAAACTATTGACCACTTCTCATTCATTTTTAGGACAAATGAATCTCCTGAAACCAGTTTGTAAAGAGAATTGCCCTATAATTCTCATTAAAACACATGGGAAAGGAACCTACTTCTATCATTTTAAAACTATGGATAATTTTATGCAAATCATTGTTTTGAATCTGTGTTCCATCTGTACTGCAGTAGGGTCAACAACCCACTTTGTAGGGTGGTTGTGAGAATTAAAAAGGCAATTATGTATGAAAACATTTTGTAAACTAAATCACTGTACAAATATCATTTTATTGGTGCATACTAACCTCATTTTGTCATTTCTGCCTTAGGACATAGAGTCTGGGAGAAATACATAATTATTAGAACTCATTTCATGAAGGCTAAATCTGAATCATATCAGACTGTTGAGAAATAAATATTCAAGCTCTTAAAAAAAGCAGAAAAGGTAAAGTTGAGATGTAGAACATCTAATTAATCTACTGTTTGAGGTAAATGCTATCCATGGCCCCTATCTGTCAAAATACAGAGTACTTTGTGTTAATCTTTTAGATTATTATTTAGCAAAACTAGGTACTCTAAAATAGCAAGCATTGTTCCTCCTGGCTCTTGCTTGATTCTGTTCTTACTGCCAACTTCACTGAAGCACACGCTTGTGCCTTTGAGCCATTCTCTGTCGCATGTGAATGCTACGTCCTTGAGGTTTCTGGATGGTGGATAGATGAGTGGTGTAGAAGATGCC